TGAAGTAAAATATTCAAATCTACTGTACTCTGTTTGGCTAGAAGTTTGAATGAATTCATGCAGCCCTCTAATACATACATATACATACGTACATATATACATATATTTACATATATACAAGTAAATTGTATACATACATATACATACATGTATGTGCAAGTAGGGGAGTTTCCCCCCGGGACAAATCTTTCCTTAAATTTAGTTGGAAGATAAAAATTATAAAATTTTCTAATCTAATCTATCTAATTTTGACATACATAGCTATTATGAATTCCAATAAATGTGAAAGAGCATATCTAAGTACACATGCAAATATGGTAAGGCCATTTCCGTACTAGTCATTGGCGGTTGAATCTGGCCGAATGTGAAACAAAGAATGGTTCCGAGGTCAACAGATGTTTGCTAGGCTTCAGATACGTCCCAGCATGAGCGTTAAAGAATCTATGTGTTGTCTAAATGTTGTGGTCGTAATGATTTGCCTATGATTCGTGAAACTTATCTAACTCGAAATTGGAGAGCGAAGGTTATTTACAAATCAATAGAAGACGAGTTTCGTGCATACAACCCATCTCAGCTTAAAGGAACTAAAACGTTAAAGACTATTTTACGCATTCACTTGATCTGTACAACAGTATAGCAAAAAAGATTTTCCCTTTAGACGAAGTTTTTCTATAAAAAAATTAAAACACATACATACCTACTACGAGAATTTAGGTAAGAATAATCGGTATTTTTCAAAAGCTCTGAAGAAGTATATAGAGATAACATTCGGGTCTTCTTTCTACGGCCCTGTATATGTGTATGTAAAATATTATATATCTGTGTGAGTAGAAAGACACAAAAATGTCCGATAATAAATAGAAGTTTATATTATTAAATGAAAAAAACTAACTCATAAAAGTATACCTAAATATTCAGGCTTGTTCTGTAAATCGTACGATTTCAAATCGGTGCGATTTAAAAAAAATCTTTTTCGAACAACAAACAAAGAAGAAGGAAAAATTTGCCACTATATGTAAATATAACGTAAATGATATACTTCTGAGTATCACTTTCCATTTCAAATATTTAACAATTTGATTACAAATATACAACAATACTTTGCAAATCGCACCGATTTGAAATCGTACAATTTGCAGAACATGCCTGATTAACGGTGATTAATTTTTTCTTTGTAAAAAATATTACACAAATGTTTTCTATTGAGCACTGCATGACTTTGAAACTAGATAAATATTAGCCATTATAAGTGGACCAAAAGTTAGCTATTGTAGTAGACGACTACGGAATTTCTTGCAGGGTATACATGTACAAGTATATACATTTGTGAAAAATTATTCATATATAGTCTTATTTATACTATAAATGCGCAAATTTCGGATGAAAATCAAACAAGTGACAGTTTTTGAAATCGGCACTCACTACGATTAAAACTGACAAAAATTCTGACTTCGTAACGTCCCCCTCCCCTAAATTAGTATAATTGGAAATCCTATCGTTCCAAACTGACTAAGTTGAATTTAGTCCAAGAACACCATGGTTTGTTTAGGTAACTAAAATTACAAAATAGAAAATGCCCCTTTAAAAGCTTTATATAACTATATGGTTTTTACGTAAAAAAGAAAAGAAAATATACGTTTATAAAAAATTTCGCAAGAAACATTTCCGAGACACCCTTACGTGCATTGGCGAATTTAAATTTAATTTCTTCCTGTTATTAGCATTATTAATAAATTTCATTTTATCGTTTTTCATTTCACTTTTCGTAGCACTTTAATATGTCAAATTGGCCCAATCATAAGTTCGATATTGAAGCGGATAGCGCCAACTACACATGCGTTTCGACAGGAAATACCGTTGGACCTGGCATCAAGAGTTCTACATACTTCTCAATTGAATGTAAGTTACAATAATGATATGTGACAAGCTGTAAACTACTCCCAATCACTCACCCTTTAACATAGCGCTTTATAAATATACAGCATAACAGTAAATGTAGCATATCCAAAAACATCTCAGAAATACATGTATTTACGGTTTTATCAACAACTAAAACTTCTTTTTTATTTCCTCCTCGATTTCTTGACGAAAAGATGCGCCGGAGAACTCAACCGTTTCCGATGACAGGGTTTATGTGCAGGAAGGGACGATACCCGGACGTGTCATTTGCAATGCCAGAGCTAACCCCAGTAAGTATCGATAGCAGATTATAAATATTTTCCATACATTAGATATGCAAATAAAATACACGCGCACACATGAATGTACATACATACCCTGCAGGGAAACCGCGGACTAGTGAATCAAATTTCTAGTTCCGTACTAGGTCTTTATCGCCAAAAACGAACTAGTCCGATATGAACTAAATCCCCACCAGTCCAAAATCGGAGAAAAGTGGTACTTTTAAAACACTAATTTATTTCAGTTTTTTAACTAGAAATCGATATCTAAAGTGACGAATTTAGAAATGGTTCGGAACTATAGAAAAAGGGACGCAGAACGAACTAGATCTTATTTGTCGAATTTAGAACTAATTCGGAACTATCGAATAAGGGATGCAGCGGGGGGCTTGTTTACTTTACATAGATATGTGTTCGGCGGCTTTTTCGCTCAAATACGCTTCTATTCTGCGCTTCGCAGATGCTTTTTCATAGCTTGGTAATACAAAACTAAAATTTGTGTTAACATTTCAACATCTTGGGACCGTCTGGAATCTAAGAAATAACAGAGAGAACCTCTGCAAACTCAGCTACAGCTAAAGGTATGTAAACGTACATTTCTTACAATCATTCAAACAAATTTAATTTCAAATTGAAAACACATTTCTTCCAAAATAACCTAAAATTGCACACACGGAAGAACCAAAAAGATTGAAAAATCATGATACTTTTTTATTTCGTCTGTCGATTTCAGAACTGGTTCGGAACTATAGAATTTAGGACTAGTTCGGAACTATCGAAAAAGGGATGCAGCGGGGGGCAATTGACACTTCCTAGGACATCGCCATGTTAAATTCGCCAGTTGCTTGCATGCAAAAGAGATTTATCGCGAACCAGTACTGGGTCTAAATGTACTAGAAGCGCCCCAGTTCAGAACTAGGGATTTCCCCACAGGGTATGTTTTCTTCAATACCCCATTACATTTGCATACATATTTATGTATGTAAGTATGAATGTAATGCATCTTGCACGGCTGTTATTGTATTGACAATCGTTGTAAATGCGAAGTTGAAAATGGCAGCATTTTCTGTCAGCGTTGACATAAATGACAAGAGTGACATGACAGTATGCATCAGCCTCGGTCTTAGTTGCCAACCACCACGTCTTTAGCCAATGGATTGCGAATCGCTACAGTCGAGCGTGTTGAGTGACATTCAGTCTCAAGTGGCCCAACAACGCCGTTATGTTATGTACTGGTATCAGCAGCGCGTTGGCGCAAAAACAAAATACCGAGGTTGAGACATGTTAAAATTGACATTTTTGAAGGGCCCCCATGTGCGTTGTTGGCAGTCTTAAGCACGTACATATCAACCAATTTTTGCAAACATATGTATCAGCATGTGATTGCTCAGATTATATGGGCCGAGATATGTATGTACATAAGTAGTGTATCGGGGTGTATGAGTTACATAAATATATTTATTACATAGTATACTTTTAAGGATATCGGATTGCAAAATAACTCAACTTTCCAGTATTAAAATCCATTAATTTTAATCTAACTAAGTAAGTTGATATACATAAGTACATATTTGTAATTTTAACATCAAACCATTTCCGGTATTTCCTTACTTGGAATTTAAGGACTCGCTCACGTGATTCAAAAAGACTATGGACCTAAGTATTAGACTTAAACTCTCTATTGTCCAGATTATTAGATTTATAGATGCGAATATTGGAAAATTTATCTTCTTCTTCTTATTTGGCACCACAACCGTTCGTCTATGTTTATGGGCCATATTATATAACGGCCATGACGAGAGACTTGTAGAGCATAATTTTTGTTCGCCAAGTGAGAGCTCTGCTTTTCAATTGCCTGGGAAGAGTTATTCTCCGCTTTATCTCCATGCTGACGTTGTTGGTGGTGTTTATGCTTGGATCCTAGGTAAACAAAGTTACGAGCAAAGTCAAAAGCCGACAGCGATGTGTGTCCCGAAACGCGTGGAGTCCTTATATGTTGCTAGGTGGTACTTTGTCTCGTCTTCATTAACCGATTGACCAACCTCTTTAGCTTATTTTTCTAAATTGAAAAATACTGCAGTTACGTCCCTTTCTTTCACACCGACGATATCGATATCATCTGCATACGCCAGTAACTTCGTTATTTGTATATACATCAGAGATGGGCAGAGAGAGCTTTTACTCTGCACGCCACTATACAAAATAGATAGAAAGCTTAAAAGAGCTTTGCCCGCGGGCAAGGCAGTGCCCATAACTGATATACATATATAGTGCCGCTGCGATTTAGACAGGCAGCTCTTATTATGCTTTCCAGCATCAGATTGAAAAACACGCACGAGAGTGAATCGCCGTGCCTAAAACATTGTTTGGTCTCAAACGGTGCTGTGATTTTTCTCAACTAACATAAAAGTTCATAAGAAACGTATGGAATTGACTAGAAAAATGTTGAATTCTCGAGGAAAATTTAACGGCCCAGAGTATACCTTTTTTATTTATGTGTATGTACATTAGACTGCATCACCCTCCATAAAAAAAAGATCCGTACTGTTTTTCCATTGGAATTATAAAACCTATTATAGTTTAAGACGACCACCAAAATATTTCGGAAAAGTATTAAGATTAAAGCGAGCTGGACCGATTTGAAAATACTTCCAAAAATTAAGTTTTTTATGAATAAAAATAGTTTCTTAAAGATGCTTTTTGAAAAAAAATCCTCAAATGACAAAACGGTTTAAACTTAAAATATTTACATGAAAATAAAAATATAAATAAAAATAATTTGAACGGAATCGTAATAATAAGATTTTTGATTTTTTTTTAATTTTTTCAAAGATTGGTATAAGAAAACCGTGAATAACTGAACCTAAACTCTTCCGATTTAGACTTGTAAGGTATCATTGGAAAGGCATTTTCTCAGCCTTTCTATTCGAAGGATGAAAGAGAAAGGTAGGATGAACGAACATTATTCAAAGTTGAATAAATGTGTGTTGGTATTTGAAAAAAAAATATTGGGACATTATATTCTTGTGTGTGAGTGTAAAAATAGGAAAAAAACAAAACTCATATTATAGTCCCCTTTTTATCATACACATGTATTTATGTAACATGCCCAAAAATAATTTAACCGTACAATTCAATTTACTTTTTTATTTTCAGGCGCTCACTACAACTGGATATTCAACAGCACAAAACTCGGCCAGGATCAAGCTTTAATCATCAACACACCAATGACTCGCAATGATTCTGGAATTTACACTTGTGTCGCCTCGAATAAGCACGGCAATAGCACAGCGGAAACATTCATCGATGTACAATGTAAGTTGACATACTTACCCATTTAGACAATTTAATTTTTTAGCTTTCGAATTGGATTTATTTCAACATAACCTCGAAAGAATGGAAAAGGGACGGTGGCATCGAATATGAAACTGTCACATGTCATTTTTAAGCTACCCTCTTTGAAATCTCTAAAAAAAATCTACTCGGAATGTTTGACATTACAGTGTGCTGTGACTGCAATTGCCAACTTAGCTGGATTTGTACACTTTAGAATTGACGCACTCACAAGCACATATGCATGTACGTATTTGTGCCATCCAACATATGAAAGTGGCAAAATTTATATGAAATACGAAAATGTCCTTTGATTTGCTTTGTTTGTTGGCTTGTCAAGTGGAAACCCCTAGACCGTCGCAATGGCGACAAGTGTTTGAAATCGTCCGAGCAATTCTACGAATTTTATGATTATATCCATTTTGATACTTTCCTTTTCAATATAATACTATATGTAACGATTTGGTTTGAACCTTTTTCGACAATTGTTGCAAAGTCACAGCCACAAAATTGTTATTTCCATTGTGTGGCTGCCCTCCCAGCCTTGCAGTTAAAGGGAATACTTCTGCATTTTGATTGCCTCACGCTATTTCTAATATTTCTATTATTCGGTTTGATTTTAGTTGTTTCGTGTTATTTTGTAAAATTACTCGAGCAACGAATTATGCGATAAACGTTTCAAAAACATAAAGTCCTGCGGTTAAACCAAACATACACACATATGTACGTGTATTTATAAAGCGAGAAATAAAAATAAAGTTTGCTAGTTATTCCAGATCATCGTCGAGCGACGACGTTGGGAAGAGGCATTTTGCAGCTGGTCACGCTTTGATAAGCCTATTTAATATTATTATTGAAAGGTTGTAACGCTATTCAAGTATAGCTAATACTTTTTATGCTGAGTTTGGTCGTTTTGTTCAAACTAATCGACACCATTCAATTGAAATTAACCGGAAGAGTCGTCAAATTATGCTGACTTGGACTTTTTAACCCTTATAAGTAAGCTATAAAAAAAAATTATTATATTTGTGAGTACCTTCATTTAAGTTTTCACACAATTCCAATTATGTGGAAAAAAAACGTAACCAACAGCGTTAATTCGGTTACGAAGAAAGATATTTTTTT